ATCCTCTTAAAAATGAATGCTGGCATATATTGAAGAGCATTTTCAGTATCTGTAATGTATCTTCTTTCTCCACACTTCTGTTTTGTTGTGTGGGTATGCACACAAAATTCCTAACATTTCCTTAAAAAAAAAAGAATAGCAGGGTAATTAGAGAAAACAAGCAAAAGAAGTACTCATACTTTTCCATCCAAAATGTTTTAATTGTTGCATTAACAGGAAAATGCAACAAGGAAATGTAAATAAGCATCTGATAGTAGAGAAACTATTCTTGCAACAATGATTTGCTCTTTTGCAGTTCTCTTTGAGGATTCCATAGTTGTAGGCTTTTTCTTTTTAAAAGGTAATACCTTTCCTCATTTTATAAATGTAGAAGTTAACTACTAATAGGGGGGCAAAAATTAATTTTTTAAAAATCACTAGTATCAGAAATTCAAGACTTAATCATTTAATTTTCCATCTAGCTTTGCTCAATTTTAACTCCAAAATGATTAATTTAGGATTCAAAACAGTTCAAAGCCATTCCATGTTATTCCATAACATGATAACTTGTTATCTAAACTTGTTTTCCTGGTTTTGCAGCCTCAAGGTAGGATTGAAAGTTTCTATACTGATTGGAAAAAAGGGCTGTTCATAAAGCATAGTAAAAAAGATACTGGTAATTTCACAAATGTAATTTCCTTTTCATTATTTCATATAATTAATTTGTGCCATTTTCTTTCATACATGATTCCTATGAATTTATAAATAACACTGACGAAGAAGAGGAAAGTACTAAATACAAATATTATAAAGCAGTCGGAAAGTTTTCAAATTTAAAATTTTTCCACAAAATTCTTATCACTGTAGGCTCATACAGCCATAACCTACAGGTATGTGCGTATTCATTAGGACAAATCCTAAAGATTTGTCACAAGTGGTACTTGCTTGTAGACCAGTTTTACTCTTTCCACCTTATTTCTCATTTCTTCCTAACTGATCCCTAGGTTTGGAGATCCTCAACTATGCCAGATATCTGATATTCAGGATATAGATGTAGAAAATACTGTTGACAGGGGGGTTCTTTCTTCTATAAGCTAAAGCATTACTGAAAACTGCTTTGAGCTATTTGGAGTCAATGATTTTATAAAGCAGATTAGCAGGAATCTCTACTCAGTTATAATACTCTCTCATTTAATAAAAAAAATCTTCCACTCAGAAATGCAGCCTATTATGAGATCACTGTGCAACAATCTATATTCCAAAAAACTTGTTAGGTCCTAGAAAATGTAAAGTAAGGAAACAAAAGAAAAGTATTTTTCATAAGACAGAATATTCAACTTTGAGTATTTTTAGTTAAGATGTTGCAAGCTTATCATGTTGTTTGCCTGAAACATTCATAAATCTAAAATCAGTGTACCTAAAACAATTTTTTAAATGAAAAATTCACAATTTAAAAAGCACAACTTTCCTGATACTTCCACACTTTTTTTTAATTGCAAAATTCAAACATTAGTATCTGCCTTGAGCTTTCCCAAGCATATAGCTCAAAGGAGTCACACAAACATAGAACATAGACTGAAGACTTAACATTCAGTTGCTATGTTTAAAGCTTGCCCAAGATCTAAGCCCCATTTTTTATGTACACTTTGTGAACACTTTGTGACAGATTTTGCAGTAGGGCAGTAGCAAACACCAAACACAAAATATTCATCAGCTGGAATACATTATTATTTCCTATCCTTTTCAGAGAAAGCTAAATTTCTGTTACTGAAATGTCAGCTAATTAATATTCGTATTGAACTATTTAAAAGAATTTATTATATGCTTTTCATGAAAAATGACACTATCAAGATCTTTAGGAAAAGTTAAAAAAATACTGTGATTTTAAGATGGAGTTTATACAAGAAAGATCAATAAAACACTTTATAAGATGCTGTTTCCTCAGATATGCCACAAATTCAAGTCTTTCAGTGCATTCAGCCCACAAAGTCATAACTCCTATTAATATTCTGAATGTACTGTTTTTGAAAATTAGTTTTCTTGTCTACTGGGCAATTTGATTTAAATGTAAAATTATTTAGCTCCAGAAATGTTAATAGGTCCCTCAACAATCTGAAATACTATATAATTATTAGCAATGATAGGATTTTGAATTGTATTGTGCTTGCTGTCTATGTTACTGATTAAAAAGTATACTAAAATACTGCCAATGCTTAAGTTCTCATACTGGCAATTAAATAGAAAGATTGGATTCAAATGATTCAAAATACTTGTACAAAACTCAGTTTTGGAAATTGAGATAGAATACATTGAAAGCTGCAATATAAAACAATATGCATTCTTCCATTGCTACTGAACAGAATTAGCATGCCAACTTTATGTATTAAGAATCCAAATGTTGTTCACTTCTTCCATATGTTGGATAGTAAACATATATAGCTATAGAAAGTTAACTGGAGATAAATAGTGGGGATTTCTTATTTACATGCTCATGAGGGACAAAAAGGATTAAAAATTAACTCCTTTTTCCATTCCCAGCATTATGGGTAAATTGCTAACACAACAAAATTATAACTGTCAATTACTCATAAATCCTATTAGATTTGATTTGGGAAAACTCAGAGGGAAGGGAAGGGAAGTTTGCTTTCACTGATTGAACAGCAATATATTGTATTTAGCTATTTTTTTCAACTGGCTGTTGATCAAGCTGTAGATGCCTAGTTCTTATGCCAACATGAAATCATAGTCAGTAGGTTAACACATCCAAAAGAAAATCATGCATATTATAGATTAGTCAGAAACTGAACTCTTGCACGAAGACTCTTTGTATTTACAGTACTTAATTCAGAAGCAATAAAGATCAACCAAAAAAACATCAACAATGCTGATAATTTCTAGTGAACATAGAGATAACTTTGGTCACTTTCAGTTAAGTCAGTCCTTAAATTGAACAACTGTTAGCCAGGGAAATCACTATAAATAAATAACTAGAGATTAATAAGACAAAGGAGGCAGGAATTTTTCATGCATCTTTTCCCAAAGCCTATCTCATACAAATCTATAAGGGACATAAACAAATATTAGTGACAAGCAAAACTCCCCAACTGAGGAACACAACATTCCAGAATGCTCCATACAACATCCAAACCATGCTGTTCTGGAAGTAAATCCTATATGTAGGAAGTGAGTTGAAGTGTCCTGAAAAGATTCTGGATAAAACAGAACTGTGGGGGCTGGAGTACATCAAAAGGCTTCTGCTTTGGAGGGTTTATTTTTGGAGCAATTTCCCCCCACCTCACTCCAAAAAGAAGAGTACAATCTGGGATGTTCCAGTCTTAAATCAGATTAATCAGAACTTCAGTTTCATTCCATTACTTAAAACACAGTTAAACTTTCATAGGTATCTTAGAAAAGATAGTAATTCAGCAACATTAACATGTCTCTTTGGCACTTGAATTAATATATACATTATTTTTTTGATGAGGTCCATAAATCTTTTCTGGTAAGCCATTATTTCAAATTATTCACTGAATTAATACCTTCCCAACTTCCCTTTCACACAGCTAGCATTCAAATGAGAAGAGTCACTGTCCTTCTACACAACTGCAAGGAATAGATGTGTATTATTAGTTCAACCAAATGTAAAAACAGTCACACTTTCAATTCTCTGTGCACGCAGGCCAGAAAAGTAACAAAAGCTATCTTTCTCAACTATCACTAAGCCAGAAACATTCCCCTACTTCCTTCAGTAGACGGAAAATTACAGAAAAAATCTTAGGATAAGAAAAACTTAGGAAAGTCACTAGGTGATCATGCCAACTCTAAAACACTATGTACCTGTTGTACCTACAACATACAGCAAACAACCTCTGTACTTTGAAAACAAGAAAGGAACAGGATTAACTTTAATCACTAAAAATGGTACTTTATCCATATGAACACATGTAATTATTTCTAAGCCACCTTCTTCTAATCCATGATTGACTGTCCAGCAAGTTCTAGCATGCAACTGAAAGTAAAATATTCAAGACTAAGGACAAACAAGACATAAAAAACTAGATTGGGCTGCTCCATAAATTTTGAGTATAACAACAAAATTTGTGGACAAAAACAAAGTGGAAATTCAGAGGAATGTAAGGTGAGACGAGGAGAAAAAGGCTACCAAATATTAAACAATATTTTACATGGAATATACATGATTCTTTCTATACACTGGCTTTTATAAAATTCGTTTTCTGGATTCAGAATGAATGCCCCCAATGCCTTTTTCACATTTAAAACAGTACTGCTGTCTTAGACCTACTAGTAGTCCTTCATCACAGGAAGGGGGGAAAAAAACACAATGAAACTATCTGAGCATATGTGTATATATGTATGTGTGTGTAAAAGTGAAATGGGGGCCACAGCCTTAGCTAGCCTTGACTAGTTTGTTTGTGACTTGCAAGTGTCCAAACTTTGCCCACAGGTGTGTGTCATAACCTCAGACAGCAAATGGGCCACGTCCCGAAATGGGAGAGCGTGACTCCGTCTGAAGAGAAGAAAAACTCCCTCACAAACCAAGTATCCGAAGGCAGGAACAACCGCCTTTCTCTCTCCCTTAACCCCCCCCCCCCCATAACCCACGCTGGTTCTTCACAGCTGCCCCTCACGGGGCTCTTTTACCACACGCCTCGCCCGAGCCCCCTCCCCAGAAACTTCAGGCCTAACTCACCCCAAAGTAAGCCTCGTGTTTCAACTTAGCGCTCGGGAAAACGTCCCCCGGTTATTTCACTTTTATTTTATTTATTTTTCTGCGAAGCGGGATTTTTTTTTGTTTTTGTTTTCGGAGAGGGGGGGAGGCACCCCACGCGTTAACGACCCCCTCCCCCTCTTTTCGGCCCAGCCCGCCAGGTTGCTTCTCCTCCTTCCCCCTCCGCCCCACCAGCCCCCCCGCCACCGTCCCCGTCCCACCAAACGGCCCACCCGTGAGCGCCAAAATCGCCCCGGCCGCCTCCCAAGGTCTCTCGGTCTTCTCCCCTTACCCGCGCGCCGCCTCGAGGCTCTTGATGAGCTTCTTGATCTTCCAGATCTCCACGTTCCTGTCGGCAGCGCTGGGATCGTCCGCCATCTTCTCCCTCCTCCTCCTCCTCTTCCTCCTCCTCCTCCACCGCCCCTCCTGCGGGTGGAATCGAGCCGCCGAGCCGCCACGAGGAAAAGGGATTGAGAAATTTGGAGGGAGGGGGGAAGGGAGGGAGGGAGGGGGAGGGAAGGAGGAAGCAAAGAGCCGTTAAAATCCTAAAGCCGATGCCAGCCGGGCTCCTTCGGTTCCACCAGCCGAGGAGAACGGCGGCGAACACCACACCGCAGCCCGCCGCCCGCCTGCCACTGGCGGGGCGACACTCCCGCCCTGACGCGCGCGCTCACCTCAGGCCTCGCCGCCGCCGCCGCCCCCTCCTTTCCTTCCTACTCCGGACGGCAACGAAAAGGGCTCCTCGCGACGGCGCTTGTGACGTCGTTCGCCGGCTTCTTCCTTCCTTTCCTTTCCCCTCCGCCTCTCCTGCTCTTCCCCCTCCCTCTCGCTTCTCCTCCGCGCTGCATGTGTTGCAATCGTCTCACATGGGGTTTCTGACATAATTTCCGGTCCCGCACAAATCTCTTTTTTTTTTCTTTTTTTAATTAAGGAAACGAGGAGGTGGATTTTCAGCTTTCCGCCACTTCTCTGTTTCTCATTGGCTACGTGCCTTCCGAAGTTTCTCTTCATTGGGTGGATTATGCCCGTGACGGCAGGAGGCCCCCCCCCTCGCCTCTACCTCATATTAGGCTGTATGCCGGGAAGCGTAGTTTTGTTGGAAGGGTCAGGCAGGGCGGTTGAGCAGTTCTCGCGTGATCTACCTCCGCGGCGTTATTCGCGCCCGAGTGCGTGTTCTTTAAAGGGAACGTGCAGACCTTTTCTGGGGAATGTGCGAAGCTATGAGTCAAAACTTTCCATAGCGCGCGCGGGAGGGGCCTTGTTGACAAGGAGTTCCTTTTGCAGCTATAGACATTCTGAATTAACATAAGAATGGAGGCAAACATAAGAAGTTGGATGTTTTCCCTAGGCTTTTACAATACATTTAAACTGGGGCAGCAGATTTGGGGTATAAAAATATGGACTAGGACTTAGTAGCAGCAAAATCCTGGTGATTGGAGGCTTGTCGCCCAAATCCCGTAGCCCTTGGTTAAAGGAGAGACAGCTGCTACTCATTGTTATAATCGCTTGACAAAATAAATAAAATTTAAAAAAAGTTCAGTTCACCGAAGGCATGTACAGGTAATGGGGATGCTAATTCAGGCAACCCCATGTTAGCCTTGGACATTATGAGAATCCAAACGATATGATTACGTGTTGGCTAGGAAGACCAGTTATTGAATTTTCAGCTGTTCTATATTTCTTCCAATGAAATAATTAAACGTATAGGATTTGATTGGAGAAAACTGTTGCAGATAGTTCTCAACTTACAACTTTTCATGTAGTGGCTGCTCGAAGTTACAACCACTGGAAAAAGTGACGACTGGCTTTCCACAATTACGACCATTGCAGTAGCCCCAGGGTCACATGATCAAAATTCAAATATTTATGACCATTGCAATGTCTCAGGATCATGTGATCCCCTTTTGCAACCTTTATTTATTTATTTGTCAGTTGCTTACAAGATAATAGATATAAGTATAAACATAGTTATGAATATGAAAAAAGAAAAAAACAATAGGACAGGGATGGTAGGCACATTGGTGCGCTTATGCACGCCCCCTACAGACCTCTTAGGAAAGGGGTGAGATCAATAGTAGACAGTCTAAGGTTAAACCTGACAAAGTCAATGGGGAAGCCAGGTCACTTTACAACTGTGTTACTAACATAACAACTGCAATGATGCAATAACTGTGGCCACAAAAGTCGTAAAATGGGGCAAAACTTACTTAACTGTCTTGCTTAGCAACAGAAATTGGTCAATTGTGACTGTAATTCAAGAACTACCTGTACATAGTCTCTGAATTAGTAAAATGAGAACTGTATCAGATCATAAGTGAAGCTCATCCAGGATCCTGACTTCTGCCATCAGCTATCCAACACTCGATCCTAGAGACTATAATCAGAATAGTTAAGGTTAACTGGATCTTTATAGGGTGTGTTACTCAGTTCCAGTAATACTTATCATAAGTATAACGATTTCTTGCCTTGTTCAGTTTTGTATTTCCAACAATATCCAAGCAACTGCTTTTCAGTAATTTTTCAAACAAGACAACATGTGATACTCTTCATCTGAATATGTCTCCAGCATCTGGCACAAAATCTCTCTGTCCTTTTCCCCTTTTGATCTATGTTTAAACAGGGAAAAAAACTTTTCTTCAAACTAAATTGAGGAGTTACAAATAAACTGCATGCTGTAGGGATTTCTAGTTAAGATGGCATCACTTACCCAGTTTCAATTTAGCTACCAAGGCTAATGGATGTGGCATGAATTAATATAAGTTTTTAGGTAAAGGACTTAATGATAAGTAAGGACAGATAACCATGGAGAAAATCTATAAGGTCATTAAAAGTTGACACCAACTTGATGGCACATAATAACTGTTGGATCATCACACTGAAATCCATCTAATCCAATGGACTTCAAATGAGATACGTAAAAAAATCCTTCTCAATGCAAAAAAATCAGTGTGGAACCCATTAATAAATACATTTCATATAATATCCTATTACAGACTTCTCTCTTTTAAACAAATGAAGATCTTTTGCTGTAATCATGAGTAAACTGCCAAGTTGAATTCCTGGATTCTTCCAGAACCCTGGGGAGAATACTGTGGGATTAGGTCAATATCTATCCTTTTCAACAGAAGTCAGCAACATGCTTCCAAAAAGTACATAGTGACAACAGCATTCCCATAAATGAGGTTAATGTGTAAAAGCTGCTGGTTTGTTTGTAGTTTATTTGCAGTTCTCTCCAGGTCTGATCCACTTATTTTGAATACTTCCAAGTATTAAACATTACCACATCCTGAATTTCATTCATCCACATAATGTTCAAGCAGAATTGGGATTACCAAGCATAATGTTCAATCAATTGCCATTAAAAAGACTTTAGCATTTCCAAAGAATTGACTATCAAGTTTTCTTCGTAGGCAAAACCATGATTGGGTTACTCCATTAACTTTTTTCAATCGGCCCTTTCAGAACATGTATATACATATAGCTAAGTCACAGGCAGGCCAATGTGTGGCCTTCCAAATGCTGAGCTGCAATTCCCAATATCCCCCATAAGGGTGATACTGGCTCAAACTGTTGAGAGTTGGAACAAATGTCTGACAAGCCACAAGTTGCTCAACTTTGAGGCAAACACACAGCAGCTAAATCGGACAGAGGAAAAGGAGCACTGATTTAAATAATGCAGTTGTTGTTTCTCACTGTTACAGTGTAAAACAAATAATGGAGAAACAAATATTCTAATCATGTATCTTACATATGCTGAATCTCCATCAGCTAACATGAAACATCAAAATCCAGCATTTTATCAGATTAAAAACTTTAAAGCACCAAACTTTAATAGTTATGCATTAAGCAGTAAAAAAAAATGAAACACTGAACCAATAAACAAGATTCAGGTTGCCTTTCTAATTGTTGACAAGTTTTTTGGTTAAGTCGTCATCAGATTCCCCAATTCCTGTATACATCTCTGTCATAGAATGAAGCTGAAATACTATATCAAGATTTTTGAACAAAACACTAAAGCAGGGGTTCCCAACCTGGGGTGCGAAACGATATTCCAGGGGATGCGAGAAAAGTCCAGGTAAACAATAGGATATTGGCTATATGTTGCCATTTTTATTTATTATTTATTTCAGGGGATGTGAGGTTCGGGTGAAATTTCTTTAGGGGTGCAGGGCGAAAAAAAGGTTGGGAACCACTGCACTAAAGCAACAGGATGCTTACCATTCCAGTGGCCATCTGTACAGTTATATTGATGAAATTTTGAGTCGTTCTTCTGTCTCTATGGTATTGCATGACAGAAGGATGGGGCAGTGATGAGCTTCCAAAAGGGAAGCCAACAAGCCCAATGCTCTACCATGGAGATGCTCAAGCTCCTACATCTAGTGTATAATGCTTTTAAGAAGTGACTGGATTTGATTGTATCAGTTTTGCAAATAATATGGATTTCCTTGAAGAAAGGCAATTGAAGTAACAATAACCCTGGTTGGATTGTCTTTTAACAATACCAAGGGAACCAACAACAAAAAAGCTGCTAAGAAACCTTCTTAGTGATGTATGAAAGCAGAAGCAGATGTAATAATGTTCTTAAATGTTGCACTGCTTCTTTGCTTCGTTAAAAAAAGAATACCTTACTTCTGTGATGCATATTCTTTAATGAATAAGTTGCCTTGTACAAGCTGATTATACTCTTTGTTTGTTGCACAAGGAATTATATATATATATATATATATATATATATATATGTGTGTGTGTGTGTGTGTGTGTGTGTGTGTGTATGAATATATGTCTATGTATCCATCCACGTGTCACAATAGGTGTGCCACATTTACTGTAATAAAGATCTGCGGACAAGTATGTTCAATACAATGCAATAAACTAGGATTAAGCTAGAAATCAGATTTACCATAACAAAGCCAAGGAATTTAGACCAAGCAGATTTTAAATACAAAGTTTAATCTGGAACAGTAAATAAATTATATCAGATCAGAAATGTGATTTCCTTTGCCATGAAGAATTAAGGATGGGAACTTTTGTCCTCATGGTGCCTTTTCAAGACAACTGGGCTTTCTTGGTTGTTTTTTTCCCCTTGTAAACGCCTCACTTCCAAGAAGCTTCTTCAGTTCTGCCAGAATTGAAAGTCCAAGTGTCTTTTGAAAGCACGTTTGGGACAACAACAACCTGGATGATTGAGAATCTCCATAGACAACAGGAATGTTTAGCTATTTTAATTTGCCAATCAATATAATAGCAATAACACAGACTTAAATACCATTTCATAGTGCTTTCCAGTATTAAGCGGCCTACAGAGTCAACATATTGCCTGCAACAATCTGGCTCATTTTACCAACCTTGGAAGAATGGAAGGCCGAGTCAAGCTTTGAGTCCTTTCAGGATCAAATTCCAGACTCTGGACAGCTAGCCTGCACTACTGCAATCTAACCACACCACCACCAGGGCTCATTTCAGGCTTATGAATGTCTAACAGATTGGCTACTGTCAGGTATGCTCCAGATCCCATTTAAGTCACAGGCCCTTGCAACATAAGCAAAAGTTAAGCATTTATCTACACACCAGATTTAAATGTGGTGCTTTTTTTCTACTTATTACGTTCTACAGATTTCAGTCAGCACCTAGGGACTGCATGGCTGCAGCAGTCTTCATTTAATGACTGGCAGCTGTCACTAACTGACAGACTTATCAAGTAAGATATAAGTGATGCAGGACTTCCGATTTTATTTCTGACCTCTGTTCATTCTGCTTGCCAGAAGCTGGCTATGAAGCGTGCAAATAGTAATTGTGTGATCCTTCCAACGGACCTAGATTCTTGCTGTTGGGTGTCCAAATCTTAATCACGGTGGGGACAGTGCAACAGTCATAAATCCAAGGACCAGTTGTAAAGTTACTTTCTCGGTGCTATTGTAACTTCAAATGGTCTCTAAACAATGAAGTTGTTAAGGGGAGTCAAACACGTGGCCCAGATGCCTCACGGGCCCCCCCCCCCCCCCCCCCCCCCCCGTTTAGCAAAGGGGGGAAAAGTCCCGATAGGTCACTTGACACCCCTGACCTGTATAATGAAAAGCCAGTTTGGTGTAGTGCAATGATTAAGGCACCAAGCTAGAAACTGGGAGATTATGAGTTCTAATAGTGACTTCGATATAAAAATAGCTGGGTCCCCTTGTTTATTTAAAACATTTGTATAGCTACCCATCTTATAACAAACAAGTTCCCAAAGAAAAACTAAAACACAAAAACCTTATTGCAACTATTCAAACTATTGTATAAAAGCAGGCAATAATGGCAAACCACTTCTAAGTAAAACCTTACCAAGAAAACTTCAGAGATTTGTCCAGGCAATTGCTAGGAGTCAAAACTGATTTGAAAGCGCACAAATACACATGCATCTGCTCCACGAAGATGTCCAACTTTCTTGGCAGTCAGGTTTCCCTATCCTTCCCATGGGTGTAATTTTTATGCCTACTTTTAAATGCAGCACAAAGAATGTTGTCAAATACAACTTTTATCAGATCAAGTTGTATTAGCTCAAAATTTTTATTCTTTTAGTTTTAGCACATTTGCAAAATTGTATAGATCAGCAATGAAGAATTATGCTTTTTGAGACATGCGTTGAGGTGAAATAAATCCCAATTTGTGTCTTGTTTGATAAGGAGAGTACCAAAGAAGCACAAAGTGCAATATAACTATTTATTTGAATTCTGCAAGATTACATTCATATACATTACCACTTGTGGGAACAACCTGCGAATTAAAAAAAAAAAAACCGCAACTTGGGTCTACAGCAGGAATAATGTCTAGGAATATCACTGGGGCAAGGAAAACAAAATTTTTACATAGACTACTTGGTCAACTGAGAACAATTTATTAATAGGGAATCAGATTTCTTGCAAGGAAAAAGACATTGGACAGAGCAGAAAGCCTACAAAACCAATGCATGGAGTATCCACGTTGTCTTGTGGTTGCCGCTATATTAAAATAAGTCACATTTTTTATATTAAAGCTAAGGTGTAGATCTGCATATACTTTCCCAAGTAAATTGTCAGCTGATGACCACAGGTCCCAATATCATCTCTTCCCAGAAGCAGAAACCTGTTTCCAGAGGAGATTCCGTTATTAAGGATGGAATTCACAATTCAGCGATGATGAATCCTACTCCCACTCTGAATTTGAGACATGGTTTCTAGACCTTCAAATTAAACATGCCAATTCCTTCTGCTCAGAAGAAAGATTGCCAGGAATTCTCAGTGAAAACTTTCACTGGCCTCTAAAAGTTGCCTTGCATTAATTTTTTCAATCAGGTAGCAATTTGACTAAATTTATACATTTCAGAAAGTATGTTTAGAATACTGCAAAAACACAGTAAGACATAAATCAGTCCACAGCTGCTCAGGAAAGTCCTTTGGCGATGAAGCTGTGGAATAGTGTCCTCTTTCTGTTCCAGTCTACACAAGACTGCAATTTACTGCTTTTCCTCCTTCTGATCCCCGGAGCTCCCTGAATCATGTGAATCAGAGCCTTGTGAACTTCCAGAACTCTCTCGCTCTGATGCCATCTGTGAAGAGAAAAAAAAACATGGTATTGATTCAGTTTTGGGTGTGTTCTGCCCTAAGGAACAACTCAGAATGTGGGAAGAATCACCCCAATCAACATTATTTTCTGAAGAGTATTATGTTTGGGATCCTCTAACAACAGAATGAAGACATCCGCATTTTTGATATTGTGATACTATCGCAGAAACATTCCACATTCTTGAAATAGAATTCAAACTTGATGATCAATGGGAGTTTTAATACTTTAGTTACACATCTGATAACTGATTTAAGTGCAAGGTGAAGAGTAATGCCTAAAATAGGAAGGATGTTGGGAGTTGCACCAGCAAGGTCTAGAGAGATACAGATACAGATGCCTCAAGACCACAGGGACCAAATACATTAATGTTCAGTACAGCATTCTTAACCCTCATGCTGAAAAAGAAAAACTGTTGTTTTTACTTTGAATGACATGTAACCGTCCAAAAGAGATATTAATTTTGATGAAACTGAAGATATGTAAAATCTGTGAACATATGCAAGCCAGTTAATTAACATCATTAATGTACAATTAATGTTATCAGAACACTGCTATGGCTCTTACTTTCCCAGCAAAAGGCTCTATAAGCGCCTCCACTCCTGACAGTATGCACTGAAAATGTGTAACTCACTGCATAGAATACAGAAAAAAGAATGTGCAAAACTAAAATGCTTATTCTGTGGTATGATTTATATGTCCTGCCATGCTGTGCAGAATCTTACACAGCAACAAAATAAAAATCTATTCTAAGAATCGTTAAATGTGGTTTGCTGAATAAATTACTGGGTAGGTTTGCACAGTAGATGGGCTTATACAGCATACTGAGTCAAAATCAGACACACTAACTAATGATTAAGGTAATAGAGGCAGAATTAAAGTCTGTTAATCCCACCGTAGGTTCTTAAGGAAAATATGAGATATAATTACTAAATTGTCAATAGTTTAGTCCAGAAGGATTGGCTGTGTTTACATTTCCTTCATTCATTTAGCTGCTCCTTTTCAAGGTCATTGGCATATATTTCTGGGATGTGAAGCTGGGTCCTTCTCTGCCCAGACAGATCCTTCTATATGTTTTCCTCTTACCTTTTTGTAGGCCATTTCAAAAAGTTTCAGGGATGCTTGTTGCAGGGACATTGCTGCCTGCCGGATGTTTTCGCCTGTTTCACTATCTTTACGAGCCAGTAACTCCCGCATTTTTGCAATTTCTTCCTTCAATTTATTGCACTATAAAGGAATTGCCAAAAAAATGCAGCTTTTAGTGGAATACACAATAGCATATAATCTATACTATTAGCAAGGCACAATCAACATGTATCACTTTAGAAGGCCAAACAACTGATGGTCAAGTGTCACAGATATAATCACAATGGGAGACTTTAGAAATAAAAACTCTTCGCCAACTGTGTCTACTAATATTCTGATATGAAGCTAGTCCCCTTTTAGTTTTTCCTGTTGATTACTCCAGTACCAAACAGTTAGAAAATGATGCGAAAGGGAAAACATAACGTAAAATGTAAGTGTAATTACTTTCAGTATCCCTCAGCTGTAATGTCTATAATAGATTGTTGGGTTGGGTTTTGGATGTATCTTGCAGATTAGATATTTGGGTGCATGATTTGAAGGAATTTTAGCTGCCTATTTACCAAAGACAACTCTGGGCCTTTTAGGAGTATTTTCTCTTATAGCAAACATGAACCGCTTTTCTTGACCTACAAAATGCCACCATGCAAAGTCATCTCCTAGAAACACAAGGACTGCTGAAGGACAGAGAAAGGAACCACCATTCTTCATAGTTAAGAGAAAGCACAAAGCCACCCAATCCCAATCTTGGCATATACAGAAAATTGAGGATGGTTCAAAGAAGGCATGGTTTATTTCCTGTCCTGTTGACCGTATCAGAAAGATTTGTAGATCACATGTAGCCTGTAGGGTGGAAGCCCTCTCTCCTCCCAACTTCATCTTGGGTACAAGATTAAAGACTGGAAAAATACAGCTGCCTTCATAAATCAAAGCAGGGACCAAATACATTAATGTTCAGTACTGCATTCTTAAGTCTCATGCTGAAAAAGAAAAATTGTTGTTGTTTTTACTCTGAATGTCCAAAAGACATATTAATTTTTATGAAACTGAAGATATGTAAAATCTGTGAACATATGCAAGCCAGTTAATTAACATCATTATGGATATGATATGGATGGCTAGATGGATATCTAGCCATCTTGAGCAATATTCAATGGAAGCCCCTTGGTGTTCCAATCTGAAGAGAAAAAGCACAGATGCCTAATGCAGTCCATCTGTTGCACTACAGTGTGTAGATGCTATTTTCCTTTTACTCAACGATTCACAAAAAGGTAAGCTGTAAAAATTAAAATTACTTTCTTAGAGAAGCAGTATCAATTGCAGCAAGCATATTGGCTAATCTAATTAAGTTGATCACCCTGGGCTGCATGCCAATGCGGAATGCAAGAGGGATTCATACCACAAAATACTAATACAAAACATTCAGAAAATTCCCTAGCTTAACCAGGGAATTCTTCTAGAACATGTCTTCAATAATACTACTTTTCAACAGTCTGCATTATGTTCATTTGATTTCTATATATATATGAAGAAAAGCTCAAGTGTCATAGAAGATAGTAATCACTAGGAATCATTTCTTTGAAGAAAAAAAAATGGTTTGGGAAAGAATTTTAAAAGCTAGAATTTTAAAGACTAAATTCACGAGTTCAGCTTTATTACAGGTAGTCTTCATTTAGCAATCACAATTGAGACTAAGTAAAGCAGTCACGGAACAGGAAATCATGTGGCTAAAACTGCTTTCCTTCCCCCCTCCTCCTCTGGAATGTTCACCCTGGTGTAGGATAGTGGCTGGAAATTGAAAAGCGTTATCGGTTCCAAATCTTTGACTTTTGTTTGCCCCCTATTCACCCCGCTGCTCTTTAGACTGCTCCCCTTAGTGCTAGAATAATTAACAAGATTGAAATTAATATTTGTATTTACACTCACTGAAAAAGAGAATACCTGAAAGTAAGAAGGCACACAATGGGAATACACTGGCCTGTTTGGGTAACACAATTGTGACCGCTTGTGCTTTTGATGTGTATTCCCCACTGTGTACTTGCTTACTCTCTTGTAAACCTTTCTCTTCAGTCTCTCTCCTCTGCATATGGGGAGAAGAAAAACAGGTTAGGCACAGGGCAACATGTTCTGTATAGTGATTACGTGACTGAGGAATATTGCAAAAGCTATTAATGTGGACATTATGGGGGGAAATGAACAAATGATAGTTTCCTAAGTTGCATTTACAAAATTTAGAAAGATAGACTTACTTAAAACATGCCCAAGCAATGCAACACATCCATACATGTTCATTTTAGATTTTAAAAAACCCTTTATAAAAAGGCAGCTTGATAGACTTACTTCATCTGCAGGCAACTGATCTTTAAATTCTTCCATCTTGGATTCTGTGTCATGGATTATTCCTTCTGCCATGTTTACAGCTTCAACACGTTCCTAAAGAAAACAGTCACTTTGTTAGACAGAATATAAAAGTCAATTTGTTAATCATTTTACCAACAAGACACTTATTTAACCTGCACAGTGAATGAATTCTTGAAAGGGAAAACAAAACTAGCTAAATATAGCAAACACACATTCCATTGATGAAAAAGTTTGCATACGACCAACTTTACCATTAGTTTTTCTTTTCTGTAACTGCAGAATGTGTGTGTGTTTGGGGGTGGGGGGGTGGGGAGTTTTCTATTTTGAAATTAAGAGCCAACAAGGAAAATATTTTTTCAAGGATTTCCTTTTTGGGAGCAAATATATTTCTTTTATCACTGATTATAGAAGGCATTAGAATTTTTGATCGGTATAGGTAATATTTTGGCCATTTTGTTTAAAAAAATCCTGTCCTAACTTGCAGGGAAAATAGCACCAATTTCTTCAGTTCCTTGTCTGATTCACAGATACATCTTCCTCTTTAAAAGCAGTAACTATAGCAACCCAATTTGTAATTTGTATTGCATTCAACATCTGTATGAAATATATGAACTGAAAGCAGTTCCAGACCCCTGAAATTTCAACTTTCAAAGGGATGGACCTTAGATTTTTTTTCATATTGTGATAATCAGAAATTTGAAGGCTCTTTAAGTCATGGGATTTGATTTTATCTACATATTGCTTTGTTCTGGTTTCAAATTACTATATATGTCAATACCATTTGGGGAAGAAATATTATAGCTAAGAAACTTGATGTGATGCCGAAGTATATTCCTAAAGCATGAAATTTGCCATACCATGTGGAAGTCTGACTCTGTGATGCCAGGCATGACCAAGATTGATTTTATGTAAATTGAATCTTATTTTCCTGATTTGATGGACTTTTTTGTTAAATTTTTATTTTTCACTTATGGATTATTTTAACATCTTTCTTCCCTATACAATTGGGTTTTTTTTCCTGTTATTGTTGTATGGTCTTTTTTTGTTTGTTTGTATTTCATAGTTTAAAAAAAGAACATTCTAAAAAGGTCAAGCTAATGGAAACCATGGTGTTCTCACTTCGTACAAATGCGGTGCAGTAGATGTTAGCACAGAAACTATTCTCCACGCTGCTCATAGCTGACGTTTATTTGAAATAAATTTCAGGCCAACAAGCTAGAAACCATCTTGGCAACATTACCTTTTTCCGTCTGTCTTCTTCTGCATATTTTTCTGCATTTTTTACCATGTTTTCAATATCATCCTTACTAAGACCACCAGACGACTGGATCATAACTACATGAAGGTAAAAGAATTTTCTTTTTACAGAATGCTATCATTGAACAAACTCAACATGCAATATGCAGCAGGATTGCAACATTTCATATTAATGGATCACAATCATACCTGGGAAAGATTTTATGTCAGAAAAACATCAAGTGTGGGAATGCTAAACCAGTCTACATTAACAACGTGGGCTCCCACTTAAATCTATTTTACAAGACCAGTGGTTCTTAACCCTTGTTCACCATGGACCTCCCAAGACGTAACTCAAGAATTAAATCATAACATTTCTTCAAGCCTTCAAGGGCTCCCATGACATCACAGCCCCCTAAGGGCTCGGGGGCCACAGGTTAAGAACCACCGTACTAGACAATATTCCTGCCAGTCTTTGACTGTAGAATGTAAAGTAAAATATTGCTAACAATTCCTACTTCATATGTCCTTTATCATTTTAACATAGACATAGGCTTTTGAAACTAGATGTCATGTACAGGTAGTCCTTGACTTATGATGACAATAAGGACTATAAAATTCATCGTTAAGAAGAGTAATTGTTAAGTGAGGCAACGTGTGGCTGCACCCAATTTTGCAACCATTTTTGCCAGACACTGAGCAAATAACCTACCATTGTTGAGTAACCATGTGACCATGATTTGTGACCTCTTGCCATTGAGCTTGCTGTTTAGAATGGCTGGGAATGGTGATCACATGATTGCAGGGCAATCATAATTGTGAGCTGGTTGCCCAGATTCCGAATATGTGATCGCAGGAACGTTGTGATGAACATTAAGTGTGAGGACTAATCATAAGTCACTTTCTTCAGCACTATTATAACTTCAAGCAGTCGCTGAATAAATGGTCATTAACCAAGCTGTACTTGTATTGTTTGGTTGCCATCTTTAAGAGCACTGTCTATAATTTCAAAATTACACCTCAATGCTGTGCTCAGATGTCTACCTCAATGCTGTGCTCAGTCAAAAATCTTCCACACACTTTTCAGAATGATGTGTTGATAATTGCATCATAGCACACAAAGGTTGATTCTGGCCAAGCACTAAAACTCGAAAGGTTATGTATTAAGCATTTCTAGAAAAATGGAAACTTGGCAGAAAATGCAATGATAAATTATTACTATATTTTGGCACGTTACTGTAACAAACACTGCTAGATTTATCCTCCTAGCCGGCTTTTGCAATAGTAGGCTCTCAACAACGCCCTTCAGTCTTTAAAGCAGCAACAATCCAAGTACTCACTCTGTTGTTCTCGTCCTGTACCTTTGTCTTTTGCGGATACATGAACAATTCCATTTGCATCAATGTCAAATGTTACCTCAATCTGGGGCACTCCCCTTGGGGCTGGTGGAATCCCAACCTGGAATTACAAGGTACACTGATGTTCACTTAGAGAAGATGTAATGAAGGTGTAGAGAAGATGTAATCAACTCTGTCTTTCCAAGCAAACTAGAGTGAAGTTACTGGTACAATCTATTATTCACTAAAGCAGATTTATGAAATTTGAAGAGAAACCACACTAACCTAAAACAAAAGTTATTTTTACTCACTATGTATTTCTTTACAATTCTAATAGTTGTGTTCAGGAAATTTTTTACTATCGATGCCTTCCAAGCGCAAGATCCCATAATTTACATTAGAAAAATATTATCAGAAAAGCATCGCGATACATTCTGTAACAGTTAAGAGTTTTCTTCTCTAACCAAATTAATGTTATGGCAATCTGTTTCCATGCTTCTTTGCCAAACCTAATAATGTAAAGGAATTTAAATGAAGAATTTTCAAATATTCTGTCCTATCCTAGGGAAGAGCTTTGTGTTTTAATAGGAAAAGTCAAACATTTTCCTTTCATTCATGACTATTATTTTAGATTAAAAAATAAGTTCAGCAGAATTCCAACATACCAAAGTGAACTGCCCAAGGAGTTTATTGTCACCAGCCATTTCGCGTTCACCCTGATGAACTTTGATCTCTACTTGAGTCTGCCCATCAGCAGCTGTAGAAAACACCTGTGGAAGCAAAGCACATTTCAGGCCATCAATACTACTTAACACAATCATATAACTAAGTAATATGATAAGGTAATTTCCTGCCAGGAACAGAATGGAACCTCAGTCCCTGCTCCAGGAACTGTTAGAAAAGCATAGGAAAGGCCAGAAAAAGTTGAAGTCGCAAGTGCCGCACCACCCCAAAACACATAAATGCATTTCAGGAGACTGACAACTTGTTGCAGCCTCCCGCAGACATATAACCCACTTTTTGGAATGTCTTTTATCATTTTGTGGCAAAACACGCCCATTGGATAGACTAGATTCTGACTCACGACTATGTGCTTTGCTTATCTACTGTGATTCACTTAATGACCACAGTGCCTTGCTTAATAACTGTTACAAGAACACTTTTAAAACCAAGCTTGGTCATGTGGTGATTCGACGTATAACCTGAACTTATGACCAAAATTCTGGACTCAATTATGGTTTGCAAGTTTAAGCCTATTTATAATGGCAGAAGGGTTAGTGAAAGAGAATGGGGCAGCAATGACAAAACTTAAGATGATTTTCAGATATTAAGAAAAAAATTAAGAACACATCTTCTCACCTGGCTCTTCTTGGTTGGGATAGTTGTATTCCTATTGATAAGCTTAGTGAAAACTCCACCTAGAGTCTCAATTCCCAGGGAAAGTGGAGTGACATCCAACAACAGCACATCAGTGACATCTCCAGCCAACACTCCTCCTTGGATGGCAGCGCCAATGGCAACAGCTTCATCAGGATTGACTGCTTTACTTGGAGAACGCCCAAACATATCTTGTACAGTTTGCTGTACCTGTTTGGATGCATTCATATTATCAGCAATACACCAGAAAAATGGTCACATACCATAGAATATGACAGGTGGATTTAGCACTTGAAAAGCGCAGGGAATTTGGAAGCTGAGATATAAAATTATGCAAGACCATTGTAACATCCTACAGGAGTGTACCATTTGCCCTGAAACAGGATGTGGAATGTTTACTCTTTGACTTTGCAGTAAGCAATGCCCACAGTAACACTACTCCAGTCCACAAATTAATCCACATGAAAAAGTACAATAGGTGGCTACACTAAGAAGCTGCAAGAAAACCATAGATTCCTTCAGTGATATTACCGCTCCTTCCCACAGACCCAAGAAAATACCCACTCCTTCAGATAAATCCCTTTCAATGCTTTCACTATCTTCCAGTTTACACATTGAATAGAATGCTGATATACTGACAAAAAAACCCACACAAATGAAAAAAAAAATCTCTGAAGGAAGTACAAGTAGTCCTCAAGATACAACCGTAACAGAACCTACCTATGCATTACAGATGCATGCTGTGAGAGTTGTTAGGCAAAGCATCTCAACTTACAACCCACCTCCCGTCACTGCTCTCCCCAACAAAAGCCCAGATTTTTAAATGGAGAATGGGGGTGCCTCAATGGTGGAGGCCCTTGAAAGCCTAGCACAGGCCCTCCTGCTCTGGCCCTCCCTCACCCTGCAAGATGCCTTGTGTTCGCCCAGCACTTGGCTTCCCACAAGCCTTTTCCAACTGCCAGAATCCCGTTCCTCTACCCCCCACCCCCGGCCTTAAAAGTGATTCCCATCCCAACAGGTCAAAGACTCTCCTTCTCACTTATAAAGAGCTACGAGGCTTTCCAGAGCACTGGAATGGATTATGGGGGAGCCTTGGGTCGCGACCGTAATCCATTCCAGGATTTTGTCCGCAACCTGATTTGTTTGTGACCAAAAGCATGACCGACTGTGCATATGCGGACCAAAAAAAAAAAGGTGTGGAAAGGGAATCTTTCCATGTTGATTTTGTTCGCCACCTGATTTTTGAATTGTGACCAGATTCAAAAATCAGGTGGATTTTTTGTTCACTACCCAATTTGGTTGCAAACAGAAGCATTTGCAAACTGAGGTTCCATTGTACTTCTTTTTGTGGCCGTATGGTATGATACTGGAAGCAGCCATTTTGTTGTACGCACAAAATGGCTGCTGCCACTGAGTCGCTGTCATGCAGCCTGGGAACAAACTCCTTAGTTTTGCTGCCTTACTGATATCTGCAGAGTCCTACAGAAGCTTTCTGCAGCATTCAGCAGACCCCCTGTTAAGGCACCAAAATGAAGGAATTTGTCTGGCAGCCACCATTTTTGTCCCAGTGCTCAAGAGGTGGAATAAAATGGTGGTCAACTCTGTGCAGCCCACAGATACATCCCCTTCCTTCCTTCCATGAGGTCCGGAAAGCTCCAAAAGGTGTGAGGATTGATGGATATGTGGGGAGCAGGCCTAAGTGCTGTGGAGTCATGATGGGATGGGAGAGGCATTGCAGCATCCCTGTGGTCGGTCGTAAGGACAAATTACCACCCTAGGGGCACTGCACTCGTCATAACTTTGAAACACCGTCTTGGAACTTTGAGCCTTCGTTAACTGACATGCTGTATCTCGAGAACTATCTGCAAACTCATTATCAAAGCTCTGTTCAAATTTAGAAAGGATAACAGCAATTCCGCAAAAACAGAATAATATCCCATATAAAGGGTTAAGGTTAGTTCTACACAGCCACCTCTACTGATTAACACATCTTTATTTTTGCTGGGTTAAAAAAATACAAGCAAGCAAAGCACAGTCCAAAGGGCACTTGATCAGACTGTCATGACAGGATGTTCAAGTACAACAAGTCAGAAGGGGAAATGATTGTACCTTTGGCATTCTAGTCATGCCACCAACCAAGATCACTTCTCCGATGTCACTTTTGCTAACTTCAGCATCTTGCATGGCTTTTTGACAAGGTGCAATTGTCCTTTTAATCAGATCAGCCACAATCCCCTCAAACTGAGATCGAGACAGCTTCATATTCAAATGTTTTGGTCCTGAGGCATCCATTGTAAGGTATGGCAAGTTAATGTCGGTCTGCAATACAAGATTAACAATCATTAGCAATAAGTAGCAAAAATGAGAATTAGAACCATACTTATTTGAAAAGTATTCTGTGATGCAACTATTTGATTTTCTCCAGGACATATTATTCCCAGATTGGTCCTTTAGATCTTGCAAAGAATTACTGTCCTTGGGAGCCCCCAAGTAGAAAGTTTCTTTAGAAAGCCAATTAATTGTCCAGAATGTTTTCTTTTGTTGTGGTTTATTTAAATAAATCTCCATGGGAATAATTCCTAATTCAGTATATTTTATTGAATTATTTTTTTTATCAGTACATTTTTCAGAACTCAAAATCACAGCGTTTATTATGGGAAAACCACAATACCATCTCACCCATGACTGCCATCAGTATTTCAATTTTTCTTCGAGCACAAGATAGTAAGTAAAACCATGAGGGAGTTACCTTTTCTGCTATATATCTCCAAATAGTTTTTTTTTTAATATTTTGAAGATTTGTATTTTGTCTACAGTATTACAACACGTCTCAAAAACAATCAGTTCAGTGGTTAATATATGGTTAAAATGGAGTCAATTTTAATAAATAAGTGGGAAATTGCAAGCTTTTCTGTTAAATAGTTGCAATCTCAAAGTGTCGATTGGGTCCAGGTATTTCACTTGAGATATCATCAGGAAGACCCTTAAGATAATAAGGGACAGAATCTGCATATCTTCCAAGGAAACATTTCCATTTTCATTTTTAAGCTTTGTATGAAGAGCTGCGATGGTTAGAGTGCAGTACTGCAGGATACTTCTGCTGCCAGCTGGCTGCCTGCAATTTAGCAGATCGAATCTCACTAGGCTCAAGGTTCACTCAGCCTTTCGTTCTTCTGAGGTGGTTAAAAAGAGGACCCAGATTGTTGGGGGCAATATGCTGACTCTATAAACCACTTAGAGAGGGTTGTAAATGCACTGTGAAGTGGTTTGTAAGTATAAGTGCTATTACTAAGTGCTGTTATTGACCTCTATGCACATTCATTTCTTTAGGAGGATTGACACAGTCATGCAAAAAAATATAAGATCTTTGAGTTCTATGGGTCTTAGGTATCAGGACAGTTAATCATCTCGTCCTTAGCAGTTCTTAAAAAGTAGGTAAATACAACTACAAATGAACAACACATGACATATTACCCACAGACATAATCCAATAATAAATATATATATATATATATATATTCACTACTTATTACATAATAATTTTAAAAATATTAAAATACTATTAAGGCAGAACTAAAACGAAAAGAAAATGGAGGGACGTTAATAATAATAGAACCATCTCACAAGTGGTTCCCATCTCTTGCGACCCCAAGGCCTACTGATATAACCAGGTCTTGAGGGACTTTTGAAAGTTCTGCAGTGATGAGGTCAATCTCATCTCTGAGGGAAGAAGATTCCACAATGTGGATGCCACAGCATAAAAAGCCCACCATGGAGGATCCACCAAATATAGCTCATTTTCAGTTCCTCACCTGGACCGAAGAGGAAAGTTCACATTTTGCTTTTTCAGAAGCTTCCCTCACTCTTTGCAGAGCCATATTATCTTTGGTCAGATCGACCCCTGTCTAAAAAGAAAAGGACAAGTGTTGAAGTTCATTGTCTCGTATGTAGTCTTGATTAAACACTGAATAAATCTAATCATTAGAATGAAAGATTAATAAGAACTCCACTGGGCCTCCTGTGAGCCAGGCAGTGCATCTGGGTTGCCTATCTCCCCCCGCCACTGCCTCCATGCTTGGACTTACAGGTACCTGCGCTGTGCCAAGTGACTGGCAGGTCACACCCACCCCTGGGCTTATTTTTGGGGTAGGGTTTATAATAAGCTCACCCCCCAAAAAATCAGGCTAGGGCTTGTTTTCAGGGTGGGTCTTATTTTCGGGGGAACACAGCAATATATGCAGGTAACATCCATAATGGTAGAGTCTGTACTGCAATATATACAGTGTAGATACAAAAAATATGAGATGTGTCTTGACTTTACTTCGTTACAATCTGAACACATCAAGGGAAGGACACAAAACATACAGCATGAAGGAAATCTATGGTACTGAATATACAAACACATTTCTACAAAGTAATTTCAGTACCTTCTTCAGTGCTTTCGTAAAGGAAATGGATTAAATACTAAAGAAATGTACTATCTGCTTAACTGGAATGTTTTAATCCAATTTCAAAATGGGCAGTTTTGATCTCATCTAAAGAGTTGTGACCTCAAAAAAAAAAAAAAAAAAAAAAGAAAACCCACAGGAGGAAACATTCCCAATAAGGTTAGAAAACCGATTAAGACTGCACCATTTGAGCTCCCAATCATCTAAATTTGAAAAATCTCTTGCATATCTTTGTGAAACCCCAGGGAAAAAAACAGAATGGCCATTAAAGAAATCAACCGCTCTGAAGATTAAATATTATTTCATTGGTACTGCCACCTTGAAGTAATATTTGAGGCAGAGATTAGCTTTGCAAAATAGCTATTGAATTATATAAGCAGTAAACAATGGTACAAATTGAATACACTAGCATGATGAAAAACAGCAAGATATTTTGGTCAAGTAAAACACCAATTCTGAATATTTCTGAAAACCGGAGTTTTCTTTTTCAAATTAAATTTACACTTGAAAGAGTTCCATGAAAATCACTTTAAAATATACAAAATGCTTACTTCTCTTTTGAATTCTTTTACTATATGTTGCAACAGGGCCTGGTCAAAATCTTCGCCACCCAAGAAAGTGTCACCATTTGTGGATTTGACCTCAAATACTCCCTTCTGAATTTCCAAGATAGAAATATCAAACGTGCCACCTCCCAAATCATAAACTGCAATACTAAGAGGGGGGAAAAGACATACAATTAGCACCAAATCTATACATTAATAGAACATTCAGTTCATACTAAAGTCTTCCAACATGATTTGTTCTATTGAGCTATATTTAGCCTTAGATTTTCAGATTCATCCATTATCACAGCATCTGATAAACCTATCTTAGAAGTTTCTATTTATGATACCTCATTACCATTTTCTTTTGGCATCAATGGCCTTTGTTCTGAATAGAAACTGGTATGCAAATATGTTCAACTTTTTTCTATCTCTGATAAAAGTATATCACTTGGTTTGTTAAGCAGAGAGAAATTCAACTGAAAATTTACTTGAAGGCCTTCCCATTCATTCTAGGTCGTAAACAGTGCTCTTTATATAAAGTTATACACTGAAGCTAGCAGCTAAAGGAATGAGCACATCTGCTGTTCCAGTAGGTAACATAAACCAATAAAGTGCACGCTCCTAGAAGTAACACTGCAAAATGCATGGGACTATTTTTTACTTACACTTTGTCTTCAACCTTATCTAATCCATAAGCTAGAGCTGCAGCTGTTGGCTCATTAATAACTCTCAAAACATTCAATCCAGCAATCTGTCCGGCATCTTTAGTGGCCTTTGAAGAAAACAGCGATCTATTAGGTACTGCTTGTTCAATCAAGGGAAAATCCAACACAAAGAGGTGAATCCAATCATGCTTGCTTATGCAAAGGAACCTTTTGTTCAGTCACCTTCTACCCACAACCCATGCATTCTCGACCTATTCTAGAAAATTATCCAGAACAGATACAAGGATCTGCAAGGGGAAGAATTACAGATTATTTTTACTTATAGTTTATTTTAGATAAAAACTTCTGATGTAAAGTAAGTTTTTAAGAGATGAAGTTGGATTGCTATAGATGCAAATTGTAATATGACCTGTGTTCCTACAACATTTGCCTGAAGACTAGGTTTCCGACTTAATATACCCTGTTTCTAAAATGGGATAATTGAGTTCAATTTGCATTAGAAACAGATTTTTTCTCCCCCATGTATCCTCTTTTGTGGAAACCTTTTTTATCACCTTTTCTTTCAGGAAATACAATATTTATGTCACACTGTTTTTGAGCTCTCAATGGGTGAGCTTTAATTTTACCCTTTTTTGTTACGTCTTCTTTGAATACTAATTTTTGGAAAGAAAAAGTGGAGTAGAAAGAAATTGAATAAATGAAAACAAATGAATATATATTGTAAAACAAACTGCAGTGCATTCTGAGATCTAACAAAATATTTCCATAAGGGAATATATGTGGAAATAACTATAAACATTCCACTGATCTTTCTCCTTCCACCAAGAGAAATAGAACCCCAATTTCGGCAACCATACCTGTCTCTGGGAATCGTTGAAATAAGCAGGAACTGTGATGACAGCATTTTTGGCAGGATGCCCTAGGTAGTTTTCTATGGAAGAGGAAGCATACTTTTAAGAGAGGTCACTATTAAGATATTCTCAACATTTTAATCTGAGTAGAAATATGTGTAGGAATACTACAGACCTCGGAAGAGTATTACAATTTGCTTAATATTTCATTTGACTAAAATTAAATGTAATTATAACAGCTTTTTAGAGTAAGGCTTCAAAAGTAAGATGCAAACAAGGCAATATTGACATCCACATTAGTGAGCATCAATAGAACGTTTTGTGAAACTTAATTACAAAATTAGTTAAAACTAGTATTTAAGAAAGTCTTAGGCATGCAAGCCAATAAGAAGAGAGTCCAATTCTCAGGCTATACCCGAGAGAGTCTTTTTCTTATATGTACCAGAAAATTCCCCTAAAGTATGGTAGGATTATAGAGCAAGGATCTTCAAACTTGTCAACTTTAAGACTTGTGGACTTCAACTCCCAGAATTCCTGAGCTAACATGACTGGAGGAGGAATTCTGGGAGTTGAAGTCCACAAGTCTTAAACTTGCCAAGTTTGAAGACCCTTGGTATAGAGGAAAGGCAGCACATCAGAAGCATGATACTAAGTGTTTAAGGCTTTAAAAACAAGTTTAAAACTGAGAATTGGACCTGGAATCTTGCTGGCAACCATTGTAGCCAGCATTTCAGACTCCTTGGATCCTGGCAACAATATTTTATACTAATTGCAATGTTTTACCCTCAAAAACTACCCCAGGCAAAATATATAGGAAGGATATCAAAGTTAGCCAGTGCAATCTCTGGATTTGCTTCTCCTTTGGAGAGGAATTAGAACCACAATGTGTTTTAAGCATGGAGCAGACTAATTGGCAGAAAAGATGCCACACTCCTTGTAAAAACTTTATAGTTCTCCATTTAGTCCTTCAGACAAATCATATATCAGGGCTGTTTTCTGCTGCAAATCAAACTAAAGGACGCCCAAATAATCTAAACATAAAAGAAACCTATCACATTTTACCCATCAGCAAGTTATTTGGGTTGGATCAATCACAAAAATTCTGCTTTACAAACCTGCAGTCTCTTTCATCTTCTTTAAAATAAAAGCACCAATCTGGCTTGGAGAATAGAGCTTTCCGTGAGATTCTACCCAGGCATCACCATTGGAAGCACGTACAATTTTAAAAGGGACATTCTTGCTGAAATAACGAAAGTTTTCAGAAAGTTAGAGCATAGCACTTTGTGGCAACACCTAGCTAATTCGGATTTGAAAAGCATAATCACAAGCAAACTTAGTTTAGTAATTAAATGGAATATTAGCAGAAATCCCAGAGCTATAGGCTAAGCCAAAGTTTTTCTTAGGCCACAGAATCCTAGATCAAGAGGGGGTGGGACTTCTGCATGTCAGATGACAAGCCCTGACTTTCTGCTTACCTTAGCAATAAAGGGGTTAGGGGCAACCTCTTCACAAATAATTCCAATTTTTAGTCCCAGAGATTCTTTTTACTCCTCCCCCCAATCACTAAGTTTTAGAAGGGACTAAGGAAAAAAAGATTTCAGAAGAGAGACAAATATTTTCCTTTTAGCCTCTTGCAGAATCTTCCACATATTTTATGACAAAAAAACTACCATCTGATACCAGAAATCAAGAGTGAGTCAAGGAATATTTACTATTTAAAACAGTCATAACTTTAAAAGAATTGGAATAATACAATCTTTGGTAAAAAAAAATCTAAGTAAGCAGACTGTATTATCTTAACAGATGTATTACTACTTTAATATTACCCCTAAAGCCCAATATTAAATTTTCCATTAGTAGAGAAATAGCAAGCCAGTATATCTCAATGTTAACTGTTTCTTTCTGCTCTCCCACCCACAATATTTAGGGTTAAATTTGGAAAGCATGTGGATTTAGAAATAGATACTGGTTTTCAGAGAACTCAAATCCTATTTATGAAAACCATGTTTCTAAAATAGAACATTCCCAATTCTTACAATTATGATTATACATGCCACTATGTCACCCAGATAATAATCTTAAATCTCCTAGCAACTTCCTGCTACAACAAATCAGAGCACAATTGTAGATGAAACTTCACATACGCCAGTTAGACTGACAATAACTTTGGAATTATTTAACTCCCAAGCATTAAAAATGTGGATCATAGGTACAAATACATGTAGGTATGCAGTTCATTTTTTTAAGAATTAAAAAAAACAACTCAAAATGTGTCCTCACATATCTTTCTGCACTTCTGAATCATCATATCGCCGCCCAATCAGACGCTTGGTTGCATAGAGTGTATTGTGAGGATTTGTTACTGCCTGTCTTTTAGCTGGCATGCCAACCAATCGCTCTCCCTCACTAGAAAATGCCACAACAGAAGGGGTGGTTCTGGCACCTTCTGAATTTTCAAGCACCTGCATAAGACAAAATAACTTGTTGATATGGGCAACAACAATCAAATTTATAAAAATCCCGAGTTGGATCATCAATCTGGTTTGACTCACTTTTGCCTGCTTCCCTTCCATGACTGCCACACATGAGTTGGTTGTGCCAAGATCAATCCCAATAACTGCTCCTTTGATTGCTTCTGAGCTGAAAGGGAAATGTAAGGCAATTAGGCTTAAAAGGAATTTAACACCTAGTTTTGTTTCCACTTGCAGAGTAAATGGTGTGCTTACCCTCTATTTCTAAAGAATTCAACTGAGATTAAAACAAACCAAAACCCCTCTTAACCAATTAGACCTGGTTTCCCAAACACAGCAGCCTAAGATGGCTTGCTGTCTTATGCTTTGTAAGTAGAAGTATAATCTCTTTTTTCTTTTAGATGTAATTTATGCTCAAGAGCCATAATCTTTTGATATTACATTATATTTATCTCCAAAGATTTCAAAAATCTGAACATCAGCAGAAACTGAAACTGATTGTTCAATTCTCTTCTTGAATGCATATTTTGTAATGTTGATTCATAATGGTAAAAGTTGTGCAAAATAGTAAGAAAATATAAAGATGCACATTTTGGTCTGATTCTGTCAAATATATATTTATTCCCCTGATTTCCAACTCTTATTTCTTTCTCCTCCCTTTATTACTGCCCATTTCTCTAATATGGCAGAACAGATTTTTTTCAGAAATGTCATGGTTTTCACAGGCTTTTTCCATCCACATCTAAAAAAAAAAAAAAGCTAGAAGCTTGTTCAGCCATATTATGAGGTTTAGAAAGCTTTCCTGAACAGCAACTATTCTTCATTTTAATATACAAGGGAATCACTTTGAGCTTTAATTTCATTACTTACGCATAATTCCTGCTTGCTACAGTTCTGAGGATATTTTGACTTAAACCATTCCAGATGACCTATAAAAATAACAAAGCCAATTACACTGTATTTATAAAGAATACTTCTTCACTGATAATGTTGTCTTCTGCAAAACATGCCTCTCTGGAGGAGAGAATCCTATTTAAAAGAACATTCAGTTAAGCAAGACCCTTCCCTCACTCTTTGGAAAGGGTATTAGTAAAATTGCTTATAGTAAAAGATGCAGTACAAAACCTGCTGGTGTGCAGTCCTAGAAATAAAAACAAGTCTGAGCACATTTAAGAGGACTCTCATTAATAAAGAACCACAATATCAGATGATCTGAAAACTTCCATCCTAGAAACACACCCCAAGAAATGCTACATTTCAAGGAAAGTTCTACTGTTGTATTTTAAACAGCCCGCAGATATAATTTCAGATGTGTTAGTTTTGGCACAGAATACCTTTCACCTTACACTATTTTTTTAAACAACTGCATCATAAAATTATACTATAAACCACTATATCTTAATGCCTGGCTGTCCAACATTTTGGCAAGCTGGGCCACACTAAGTGAAGAGGAATTGTTTTGGGGTGCACATTATTTATAATCAATCTGTGTGAGTGTATGTGTGTGTATTGATAGATATTTGTTTTCTTAAGTTTTCATGGGTTATTTATATGTATGGTATTACACAACACAGAAGCCTGATGATGGCAGATGAGATTCTACCGAAATGTTGCTACAACTTTAAAAGCACAACTACAATGACGTGGGAAAATACCCAAACAAACTGAATACCATACATAGATATACACACCTATCATATAAATCACATTTGAGAAGTTTATGATCCCACATTAGCAGCAGTCCAGGGCCGCATGCAGCGAGGTTGGACATGCCCGCCTTAACGTAACTTTGCTGCTTTTACAGTGGATTTTAAGTCCAAAAATGGTTCAATTGCCCTACTGATGAAAAGCAAGAAAGAAGACTGCCTTCCGCCCGCCCACTGGAGGCAAGGCGCTGCTTCTCACCAGGTGAAAGTGGCAGCAGAGCACGTGGCTCCTTCCCTTTACTAAAGGGTGGCCAGACAGCAGCCTTTCCACATGGCGATGGGGGGGGGGGGGGGAAGGGATTGCTAATCCCTCTCATAATCCCTCCTTCTTCATCCATGCGGTGTCTCGCGTTCAGCGTCCTTGCATTCAAGGGGCTATATATACAGACGATGAAGCGTCTCTCCTGTGAAAAGCACCAGAATTGGCAGGGCGTTTGTACAGAAGTCCATCAGGCCTACTAATCTCCAAACCGATAAAGATCCTTTACTCTTGTTGCATAAGGGAAGGGGGGGAAACCCCCGAAGCGCTCACCGTTTCTAAATCGAAGGCCACCGTTCATTTAAAGATGTCTTTGTTCTCCCAAAACAGGGGTCTCCACAACCATGGCAACTTTAAGCCTGGTGGACTTCAATTCCCAGAATTCCCCAGCCAGCTTTTGCCCGGAGGCATCCCGATGAGCGTTATTTTAACGAGCCGTTAGTAAAAGGAGACGGATCCATTTGGTGGTGGGGTTTTGTTTGCTTTTTCTCCCCCCCCCCTTTTTTTTGGCATCGATACCGTAGATATTATTCTGGCCTCCCGACTGTCGGTCACGGCGCAATACTTAGCCCCCCAAAAGCGGCGGTCCTCCCCGCCTTGCCAACAAGGCTAAAAGGATACACAAGAAAGGGGGCCCGTTTAAAAAAAAGGGGGGGCGCCTCCGAACGCCCTTGACTCCCCCCTTTTCTGCCGGGAAAGCAACTGGCAGCTGCCGCTGCCTCCCCATCTCCCCGTTCCCTCGGCGGGTCTTACCTGAGCGGGGCCCGGGACTCCCCCTCCACGGCGCAGAACGAGCACGCGGGCAGCGCTCAACATGGCGGCAGCGAGAGAGAGAGAGAGAGAGAGAGAGAGAGAGAGAATGGAAGGCCCCGGAAAGAAGCCGAGCAGCGCAAGAAGAAACACGCGCAGCAGCGACTACGGCTTTCTGGAAGTCTCCAGCTCACGTGGGTAAGAGAAAGAGGCGTGACCGGGAGGGGCCTCTCTGGAGCTATAGCTGTCCGACGCAGGCGCCCGATTAAAATAGGCCGTCGGAGAAAACCCGGGGAAAGTAGATTTGCCGGGACTTCAGATTTTAGGGAGGTGTGTCTTTTTTTCTCTCTCTCTCCCTCTTTCTCGCTAACCCTCAGCCTTAACCCCAAATAACGCTTATCCCACAACAGGCTTTTTCGAAACCAGCTTTACTGGCCGTTGGGCGGGAAGTCCCCCAAGCTTCAAGGTCAGAAAGCGGAGGTGGATTGATAGATGCCTTCACCAGAAGGCGGAGAGGTGACTTGCGCGAAGCCTCTTTTGAGGGAGGTGCCAGAGGTTGGGCGGCAGAAGAGCCTTTTGTGCTAGAGTGGCTTCCGGAAATGACGAGCGCGCGCCGCTTAGAAGCGGCTGGTGCAATAGGTTTGCAATTGCTGCGGGGGAGGCAATGTGCTTTTGAGCCAAAGCTGATGGAGTTGCTCAATGGGACCTTTAAACGTGAATGAAACTGAATGAGCTGCGGCTCGTTAAGTTTTTCTTCCAAACTTACTTTAAAAACAAAACAAAACACCTGGCAGCTGGATAATAATTGATACAGGAAAAAAAAATGACACACCCAAATGATGGCTTAAATGATTATATGGATGAATAAGTGGCGTTTATGATGGTTAAAGTTTATGAATTCAAAAGGAGCTAATTGTCTTTCCTTTGTTGTATTGCTTCCTTTTTTATTTTGTTTTGTCGTATTCTCAGTGTGACTAGTTTCACCGCATAATGTAGACCTGGCATTGTAACCCCAAGCTTTGCCTCTTGTGTTCTGTCCCCCACAGATGCCTAAGTATATTTAGCACTAGCACTTCAACTTATATACCGCTTTACAGTACTCTCTAGGTGGTTTTACAGAGTCAGCCTATTGCCCCCAACAATTTTGAGTCCTCATTTTACCCACCTCAGAAGGATGGAAGGCTAAGTCAACCTTGAGCCTGCTAAGATTCGAACTGTCAAATTGCAGGCAGCGGAAGCAGAATGCAGTACTGTATTCTAGCCACCGCAGCTCATTTAGGAAAATTTTGTCTCATTTTCCTGCTCCTGGTTGAACATGCTCCCTTGGATGGTTAGCATTTTCTTGGCCGCTGAGCATCAGTTCTGTTTGGGATGATCGATCTTAATGGTTTGGAATGTGTGAGTGGGCTTTGTTTTTCTTTTTTAAAGGAGGGTGGGTGAGATTCAAACTGCCAAACTTCAGGCAGCTGACAGGCAGCAGAAGTAACATGCAGTACTGCATTCTAACCACTACACCAGAAGAGTACAGATAGTCCTCAGTTTGCAACCATTTGTTTAGTGACTGTTCAAAGTTACAACAGCATTGAAAAAAGGGATTTATCACTGCTTTTCACATGACCATGGTAGCATCCCCACAGTTACGTTATCAGAATTTCGATGCTCGGCAACTGGCATATATTTATTATCCTAGGGTCATGTGATTGCCTTTTGCAACCTTCTGACAAGCAAAATCAATGGGGAAGCCAGATTCACTTACTAAACAACTAAACAACTGCAATTATTCATTTAACAACTGTGGCAAAGCTATAAATGGGACAAAACTCACTTAACAGCCTTGGTTAGCAACAGAAAGTTTGGGCTCAGTTGTGGTTGTGTTGAAAGGCTGTCAAAATGCCTTTCTTCTGAGGATTCGATTTTCCCGCTGGGAGAGCTCCGGTGCAAGGATACGGACAACTGCTTGAAAGCTGGATCTTTTTATTTTTCAGGAAGGCGAGAGATAGCAAGAAGTCTGCATTCCTGGGCTAGCTACCTTTGTTTGGTAAGTCCCTGATTTTTATACCTTTTTCTCATTTTGTGTGTGTGTGCTTGTATTTCTTAATGTTTTAAATCCTCTCAGGGGTTGTCTTCATTTCCGCCGGAGGGTAAACTCCGCGGGGTGGTTTGATTGGATTATCGGTTTCGTCCTAATCTTTTTTAGCTTAATGGTTTCTTATATTTGTTTTGTGGCAATCTCCTGTCTGTCTCCTTTGCAATATATTTTGTGTCTTTTGTCTGTTTGTTTTGCTGATTTGGCATGTCTTGTGTTTGTAAGGGTTTTCTTTTCTTGTTTGCTTAGTTTTCTTAATTATTTGGGCTTTTGTCTAAAGGGCTTCTTTAATACCTTTTATTTGATTTCTTTTCCTATGCAAGTTTGTTTTATGGCTGGCCTGATGTTCCCTTTGGGCTTTTCCTGCTTGGGTGACACCACTGTCCTTGTGAAGTTCCCTTTCCACAGTTGTAAGTCAAGGACTACCTGTAAGCTGATATTGATAGATCAACAGTTGTTTCTGCCTAGCTATTAGACAGAAAGGACTTGCCTGCCAGTTCTCTGTCAAGTTCTCTGCATATAACTATGTGGCATAAGAATGTATGGGATGAATAGTTGATAGTTAGGAAGAGGCCAGACACTTCCATACCTTTTATTTTTAACCTTGTTCGTTGCATTTGTATTGCAGTTGATGGGGAAGGAGAGGCTCTTCTCTGTATATGTTTAAAGTTTTAATTTTTGTGCTTGCTTGTTGACTTCTGGACCTAAAATTTAAGGGGTTTCTGTTTTAAGCTCTAATAGATTTATTGCTGAAAGCCTAAGAAGATCATTAAACATAAGGAGATTTAATTCTAAAATATGTGAAATTATACTCATTACCCATAATCTGAGGAGTCTGGATATATTGAGAGTTATGTAATAGTTGCTGTTTTGATTTTTTTTAGACAGCAGAATAACATTTTTTTTACTTAAAATAATCTTTTGAGTACATTGATTTACACCTTTAGAGTTTTTCTCGAGCTAATATCTTCCTAATGTATTGGATTAATTGCCACGATTCCCAAACTATTTGTCAGCTGGGGAATTAGGGAAGTTGAAATCCAAATACATCTAGAAGATACCAGCTGGGGAAAGATTAGCTGAAATAGTTATCTTATGTCCTTAATTTTAGGACTTTAGTCTCCTACAGATTAGTAGGAGGATTAGTAGGATTAGTTAGCGGTAAATATCCACAGCTATTTCAAAGCAAGAATTTATTTTGTCTGCACTTTCATAATACTGCTTACTCTGAAAGGGAATATAGGTAAGTCCTCAACTTACAACCTTAACTGAGCCCAAAATTTCTGTTGCTAAGTGAGACGTTAACTGAATTTTTTCCCATTTTATGATCTTCCTTGCCGCAGTTGTCAAGTGAATCACTGCAGTTGGTAAGTTACTAACACGGTTGTTAAGCGAATCTGGTTTCCCCATTGACTTTGCTTGTCAGAAGGTCACAAAAGCTGACCTTTTTGTGAACTTCTAACCCTGGGACACTGCAACCATCATAAATATGAGTCAGTTGCCAAGCAACCAAGTCTCTCTTTTCAGTGCCGTTGTAACTTTGAACGCTCACTAAATGAACTTTTTAAAGTTGAAGACTGCCTGTAGTATCTTCTTCTTCTTCCTAGCATATTCCTGCAAGTGCAGGGTCCGTTTTTCAGATCACTAAATGTCACTTTGCACGGTCAGCTGCCCGCGGCTTGCATATCTTTGTGGATGGTATCTAGCCATCTCTGTTTTGGGCGCCCGCAAGGTCACCGGCCCTTGACTTCTAGTTGGTCTTGGCAGTCTTGGCCACAAGCGGAAGGTGCTGCTCTCAGGACATGTCCATACCAGCGGAGCCAGCCGTCAAGGACTACCTGTAACATGAGGGGTATATATGTACGAATTCATTTGACCTCAAGGTTCTATAAACAAGATTCTTGTTAATATAGACAACTGTGTTGTTATGTTGCTAAAGTGAAAAGACAATACTTGAACCCTTCTATTGGTGGGATTCAATTTTTTTTACTACCGGTTCTGTGGGCATGGCTTGGTGGGCCTGGAGTGGCTTGGTGGGCATGGCAGGGGAAGGTTATTGCAAAATCCCCGTTCCCTCCCCACAGTGGTGGGATTCAAAACATATTGCTACCGGTTCTGTGGGCGTGGCTTGGTGGGCATGGCCATGTGACTAGCTGGCTATGGCTTTTTTTTTTTTTTTTTTTTTTTTGCGCCCCCCCCCCCCCCACTGCAGCCTCCTGCAGGGCGTTTTTTGGGCCTTCTGGGCCTCAGGGGAGCCTCCTGCGGGGCGTTTTTGGGGCCTTCTGGGCCTCAGGGGAGCCTCCTGTGGGGTGTTTTTGCTCCCAGAAGGTTCCCTGGGGCTCAGGAAAGCAAAAAATGGAGGGGGGGGCTGTGCCCCCCTCTCCATCTTTTTGCCTTTCTGTACCTCAGGGAATCCTCCTGGGCGAAGCAGTAAGACAAGCTAGGGGGGTCCCGGCACAGCTGATCATATGAACAGCTGATTGTTGGGAGGGGAAAAAAAGAAATAGCTTAAGGGGAGAGCGTCAGGTGGGTGGGGCAAGCGAGCCAGCGGCGACCAGGCGACCGAGTCATGGGTGTGGCCAGCCAGAACTTACTACCAGTTCGGCGACCCACACCAAATCCTTGCTACCGGTTTGCCCGAACTGGTGCAAACCGGCTGAATACTACCACTAGCCTGCTTTCCCACCCCACTAACCTGCTTTCCAGCTCCGTTCTCCTGTGCAGGGCAACCAAAGAAGACCCAGCCGATCAGCTGGGACTCGGGAGGCAGAGAATAGATGGGGACGAGGCCAGTCAGAGGCGGTATTTGCCGGTTCTCTGAACTACTCAAAATTTCTGCTATCGGTTCTCCAGAACTGGTCAAAACCTGCTGAATACCCACCTCTGCCTTCTATAAAATGCATAAATGGAATTTGTGATATACTGGCAAATCCTCAGAACAGCGATGTCCATCGGGTCACAGCCGAACAACAAAAACCAATTGTGATGCAGAGGGTTTACTCCTGAGATAATACAAAGCTCCATACTGAAGGCTAAATCACAGTTGCAGGCTGATATAAAATGAAACACACACTTCAACCAGAGAGTGGCGTCAAAGAGCCACATAGGACTTTTTCTGATTGTTC